AGCCTGATTAGGACTTCCTCTCTGAGTTATGTAATAAATCTGACTCTGCTACCATGTTTAGGATCTGAATTTAGACCTTAATTGTGTATGAGTCATGCTGTTTGTGTGTACTATGTGTGGAGGTATATCTGAGCCTTTTATTTGTCTTCCATGCTCCCCTTTAATTGAAGTCCTATCTGTTCATTATATGTCGCCTTAGTATTTTACCTTTAAACTCGAGGGTCTGCCTAGAACCCCCCATTTTGTAGGATAGGAGTCCTAAATTCTTCCGGGACTGATAGGAAGGGACGGGTAACAGCATGTAATAGGGGTCAAGACCAACCCTCGCTTTACTTACCTTCATGGGACGGGAAAGGGTAGATATGGATATGATGACCGGTGTTTTAATACCATGTGTAGCCCCTCTTTGACGAGTGTCATACCGGGTATTGCATTGATGTGATCCATATTATAAACAAACCTAGGATACCCCTTTACATTCACAAATATGCTTAGATTGTAATTCTTTTCAAAATCTAGCTTTTCATTAACTGTTTTTCGAACATCCGTGTACTTAAACTTAAATCCCCTATTATTTGAGTCATACTTGTCTATTTGCTAAATTGTATAAATCCACAAAAGCTGATTGGCCGGGAACCACACTGTGGATCCTGAGGGGTGCCTAACACCTTCTTTTAGGATAATTTCAAGCCCTTACCCTGTCTCTGGTTACCAAACGTAGTTATAAATGAACCCTCTAGGTGCCCTAACGCACCTTAAATCATTAGGTGGCGACTCTTCAAAATGCAAACCCCTTTCCCAAAAGGAACGAGTTGTCTCAGCCAAAATGTCATAAACCCAATTTTGCGAGAAAAGGGGGGTGCGACAAGGACAAAAAACAAAAATGCAGAAAATAAATAAATAAATAAAAACCTGAGCGGGGACTGGTTGAGGCAAATTGGAGCCTTTAAAATAAAGCGGCCATTAGTAAATTGATATATCGCTTTTACAAATCCTTCCAACTTATTGCGACACTCGCCGAAAACCTCAAACGGAACTTTCGAAGCTCGAACACCGGACTCAAACAGAAAATGTCATTCAATCCATGGCCTTTAGGTGAGGATTTGCTGAAGCTTTTTTTTTTTTTGTGAAAAGAGGTCAGTGAGGTTCTTTCTTGTGGGAATTGGGGGTCGTTGTTAAGAGATGGAGGTAGCTGGGTAATGGCTGATGCTCCTTTCCTTAGGTTTTTGAGATGATGAGGAGGGCTGACTGCCGTTTTTTTAGCTTAGGGATTTTGGAAATACAGTAGAAAACTGGAATTAGAAACAGGGATTCATTTACTAGATTTTATTTGGGGAAGATGACTGAGATTCTTTCAATTTTGGAAATAGGTTCGACAGAGATGTGTGTGTGGCTAATTGCTTCTTCAGTCCGAGAAATCCCCAGGTCCCCTTTGTTTATTTCTTTTTTATCCGTCTCTATCCCCTCTGTTTCTATCCAGATCTCCTCCCTTTATTTTGTGTGTCTATGTGTGTTTATATAGTGTGAGGTAATGGAGTAGTGGGAAAGAAAGAAAAGCAATCATGCCAAAATATGGAAATATTCTGTGTATATTGATAAAAGATAAAAAAATAAATTTCCTCCATTACTTAAACTTAAATCCCCTATTATTTGAGTTATACTTGTCTATTTGCTAAATTGTACAAATCCACAAAAGTTGTTTGGCCGAGAACCACACTATGGATCCTGAGGGGTGCCTAACACCTTCCCTTAGGATAATTTCAAGCCCTTACCCTGTCTCTGGTTACTAAACGTAGTTATCAATGAACCCTCTAGGTGCCCTAACGCACCTTAAATCGTTAGGTGGCGACTCTTCAAAATGCAAACCCATTTCCCAAAAGGAACGAGTTGTCTCAACCAACATGTCATAAACCCGATTTCGCGAGAAAAGGGGGGCGCGACAAGGACAAAAAACAAAAATGCAGAAAATAAATAAATAAATAAAAATCTGAGCGAGGACTGGTTGAGGCAAATTGGAGCCTTTAAAATAAAGCGACCATTAGTAAATTGATATATCGCTTTTACAAATCCTTCCAACTTATTGCGACACTCGCCGAAAACCTCAAACGTAACTTTCGAAGCTCGAACACCGGACTCAAACAGAAAATGTCATTCAATCCATGGCCTTTAGGTAAGGATTTGCTGAAGCTTTTTTTTTTTTTGTGAAAAGAGGTCAGTGAGGTTCTTTCTTGTGGGAATTGGGGGTCGTTGTTAAGAGATGGAGGTAGCTGGGTAATGGCTGATGCTCCTTTCCTTAGGTTTTTGAGATGATGAGGAGGGCTGACTGCCATTTTTTTAGCTTAGGGATTTTGGAAATACAGTAGAAAAATGGAATTAGAAACAGGGATTCATTTACTAGATTTTATTTGGGGAAGATGACTGAGATTCTTTCAATTTTGGAAATAGGTTCGACAGAGATGTGATTGTGGCTAATTGCTTCTTCAGTCCGAGAAATCCCCAGGTCCCCTTTGTTTATTTCGTTTTTATCTGTCTCTATCCCCTCTGTTTCTATCCAGATCTTCTCCTTTTATTTTGTGTCTATGTGTGTTTATATAGTGTGAGGTAATGGAGTAGTGGGCAAGAAAGAAAAGCAATCATGCCAAAATATGGAAATATTCTGTGTATATTGATAAAAGATAAAAAATTAAATTTCCTCCACAAATGTGAATGTCCAGGTGATTTCTAACGGCCTATGAATTTGGACTTAGTAATCACGTGAGTTTGTTATAGAAAGATAAGGAGGAATCTTTGGCAAATGGCCACCTTTAATTGGTTCTTGCTTTAATTAATATTTTTTCTTTTATTTTAAGAATGTAAAAATAAAAATACTAGATAATATTTTAAAATCAAGAACATAGAATTTTTTTTGTGATTTTTAATTTTCTTAAATAAAACCTACTAAAAATGAAATAAAGGTTAGAATATGTAGATTAAGCGTAAAATTATTTACACTAAAAGTGTTGAAAAATCCCAAGTATGGTAAAAAAATTAGGTGCTCACAGGTGCCCCTCTTTGCTTGGAAACATGAAGAGTTTTCAGGCAAAGACAAAGTGAGCCATCTGACTAATTTTTGACCACACCATTATTCAAAGGAAAAAAAATAAAGGGAAAGAGTGCAAGAGTGCAACCGAGTCCTGGTTTTGGACAGCCTACATATCCCGGGTTATAAAGTAATCAGGTCGCGTGTAGTTCAAGGAGAATGATGGAGTGATGAGTTCGAGAGTCAAGCGAGGTTCCGTCGAGGCTCCGGTCCGTAATCTTGTTATTACATCAAAATCAAAATCTAAAAGAACTATACAATCCTATCAGATATGAGTTACAAGATTCCTATCTATAAGTCTTCTGAAGCTTGATCTTGAGTCTTGAATGGTTCTTCATGCAGACTTTTGATTTGAACCTTGATGCTTGCTAGCTGGAGGTGATGGTTCATTCTTGCACAGCTTCACGTAGTCTACTTTGTGAGCTAGGTGTGAGTTAAAAATGATATTGTAGATCAATGAACTAAAATTTAGATACTTATGGTTTCTAAATATCAAATGTATAACATTCTTTATGAGATAAAAACATACGCTTCCTGGGAAAAAGGAAAAGATGTTGTAGCACATGTTTCATACCATGTGTGCTATTGTCGACCAATTTGATTAACATAAGTCCATTCTCAACTTAATGTTGAGATCCAGAGCTTTTATGGTGGCTCAAGATTTTGTACCCTCAAAGACTCTGATCAGATACTTGAGATTTAGCGTGATATTTGCTATCTTAGTGTTTCCAAATGAACATGAACACAAATTCGGTCTAGCGGTGCATATCTAGAAAAGCAATCAAACTAATGTTAAGAAGATTATGAGAAGAGGAAGATCATTGATGGAATCTCATTTATTCGTGTTCACTGGTACACCAGTTATAACTTATGAGTTATGATAATGATATATGAACCACGATAAATCTAAACAAAACATCTAAGCAGAAATAAGATGTGATACTACGATTCAAGTCGCCAAAGAATTACTGAAATACTCTGAGCAATCGTAATAAGTTGTATAGGCTAGAGTTTGGTTTGCGTAATAATGGGTGGAAGCGAACTCACAGCTTCCTTTACCAAATTGAGAAGGAAAGGACCCTATACACATGCATATAAAACGTACTGCTTTGCCATGTTCTGACGTCTGCATGCAGTCTTACTACGTAATTTTTATTTTCCCTTGATAGTGAAGGCATGCATAATGAATTAAGTTGTTTGTTCTTTTATAGATAAAATGTATTTTACGTATTGACCACATGGTTTCTCTGATAGAAGTTAACCAGCGGAGCTACATACAACAAAAGCGGTTCAATTAAATCTCCTTCATCGACCCGCTAATTATAATATGTAAATAGGATTGTAGAGTTGGATTTCAGGTGTGATATTCTTGTAATATTTTCTTTGTGAGTTTCTTAAGTTGAATTTCTGATTCCGACTAATTAGCATGATGTTTGCACCAAAAGCTGCATTAGTTTGTTAAATGACATATTGAGGTGATAATAGTATTAATTAACTATGATTATGTGTGATGTATTTATTAATTTGATATAAAAAACGGGCACAAATATATTTCTTTTGTCTGGTATCTCGCATGGAAACAACACCCTTACTTCTTTCTTGGTCTTCCTATTTTATTTTGGAGCTACGTCAAGGAAAGGTACGTGTACATATAATTATAGACATGAGTTCTTACATGAAATTGTGCCGTATGTGTACCTTTATAGCCAAGTGATGCCATGTATATCGATGTTTAGCAAGAAGACAAACATTGAAGAGAGCATTGAGGTCTTTAAGCGACGTTGAGTTGGGGAAAGAAACACATGAAGAAAGGCGATCTATCAAAGGAACATCCCATTATTATTAGTTAAATATATAATGCAATTATGGGTCCGAAATAGTAGGCTTATATTCTCCTTGTCAACTCCTATAAAATGGGGCATTCTACAACGGGAATCTCATCACTCATTCTCTCAAATATTTGAAATATACATCAATTATTAATTAGCAGTAGTGAAAGTTCCTCAATTAACTGCAAATGGCTAGATCTGTGGCCCTCTTTGGGATTGTGTTGCTAATGCTTATTGCAATGGCAGAGGCAACTCCCCCTGGAATAGCTGACCATCCAAGCCATTCTCATTGCTCAGATGATGAAATCAAGCAATGTAAAAATCTTCCACATGTTTGTCCCAAATTCTGTCCCAATGGCTGCATAACTGAGTGTCGTTCTTGCAAGCCTATCTGTGTTGATGGCTCAGTGCCACCACCCTATTATCCACCACCGTCATCTCCACCACCGTCGTCTCCACCACCACCATCTCCACCACCACCCTCATCTCCACCACCTTCATCTCCCCCACCACCCTCATCTCCACCACCGTCGTCTCCACCACCACCCTCATCTCCACCACCTTCATCTCCACCACCACCATCATCTCCACCACCTTCATCTCCCCCACCACCCTCATCTCCCCCACCTTCATCTCCCCCACCACCCTCATCTCCACCACCTTCATCTCCTCCACCACCCTCATCTCCACCACCACCGTCATCTCCACCACCCTCTCCTAAGCCACCCACTCCTTATCCTTCAACCAAGAAGGCTAAGTGCAAGAACAAGAATTACCCAAGTTGTTATAATCTCGAATTTTCATGCCCTGCCTCTTGCTCTGGTGGTTGTCAAGTTGACTGTGTCTCTTGCAAACCTGTTTGTAGTAAGTTACTAATTTCCTGCCCTCTATTCTATTTTATATAACATTTCTTGTTTCTTTTATGCTTCAGAGAGAATTAGCACTTATATTTTTATATTTGGAAGCTTTTTGCTTCAATTTTTATGTCAACCTTATGATAAGCTCTTCTAGTAATAGAAATGTCATGAAATCCTTAAGCTATAGCACAGATGTCAAGGGGTAATTTTTATATGTTATATTTAGCTTATACTATATATTAATCTTTTATGTCGAATGTTTCTTTGTTTTGTTCGTTAGATCCGTGTCCAATAATGTCATATGAACTGAAATGGAGGGAGTATATGCTTTTGACTAGTGTGAGACCCTAATTCGGCTAAAATGTTTTAACTAGACTGTATATTTACTGAATATTTTTATTTGGGACGCAGGGTGTGACATGCCTGGAGCTGTTTGCCAAGATCCTCGTTTCATCGGCGGTGATGGGATTACCTTCTACTTCCATGGTAAGAAGGACAAAGATTTTTGCCTAGTCTCCGACCCTGAATTTCACATCAACGGCCACTTCATAGGAAGGCGAAACGAGAACATGAAGAGAGACTTCACTTGGGTACAATCCATTGCTATCCTTTATGGTAATCACAAGATCTCCATTGGCGCACTAAAAACAGCAACATGGGATGATTCCATCGACCGCCTTTCCCTCCACTTTGATGGTAAACCCATACTTCTTAGTGACGATGAAGGCGCGAGATGGCAATCTGAAACTACACCTATGGCCTCTATTACTAGAATCAGCAACACTAACGATGTTTCCATCGAAGTTGAAAATATTCTCAAGATCACTGCCAAGGTTGTACCTATTACAAAGCAAGAATCCCGAGTTCATAACTATGGAATAACGAAAGATGACTGTTTTGCACATCTTGAACTTGGATTCAAGTTTTTCTCTTTGAGTGATGAAGTGAACGGTGTTTTAGGGCAGACTTATAAGAAGAACTACGTGAGCAAAGTTAAGATGGGTGTTCTGATGCCTGTAATGGGAGGTGACAAAAATTTTGCAACTTCAGGACTCTTTGACGCTGATTGTTCCGTGGCTAGGTTTCAAGCAAATGGAGAACAAACTGATAAAGAGGTTGGCTTTGCTTTGGAGTTGCCGAGCTTGAGCTGCACTAGTGGACTTCATGGACGCGGAGTGGTCTGCAAGCGCTAGAATCATTACTAATGCAATTAACCTTAGGGATTCTTGATCACTACTTTAATGAATAAGGTTGTATACCAATAATAATGGAGATTCAAGCATCTCCTCAAAAATATATTTGCCTTCTAAAGAAAAGTTAGTGATTTTATTTTCCTAACTGATGGGAAATATATTGGCAATTGTTTCTTTAAACTTTGAAGTGGAGTATATATTTTTTCCTTTTTCGAAATTTGTATCTTTAAATGTTTTGCATAAAAAAGCACATTGTGGGGCGAGAAATGTTCGAACTCTCACGACAGGATAACTCGATATACCCAAATATAACGGGATAACCGACCCTAACGAGCATATTACTTCATACACTTGCGGGATCAAAGGAAATGACTTGAATGACGATGAGATCGAATCAGCCTTGTTGAAAAAGTTTGGAGAAACATTGTCGAAGGGAGCTATGAATTGGTATCACAACCTACCTCCTAACTCTATTGATTCATTTGCTATGTTAGCAGACGCCCTCGTAAAAGCACACGTCCGGGCCATAAAGGTGGCCACGAGAAAATCGGATGTCTTCAAGATAAAACAATGGAATGACGAGATGTTGAGGGAGTTCATGTCCAGGTTCCAGATGGAACCAATGGAGTTACCACCGGTCTCGGATGACTGGGCAATACAAGCTTTTATACAGGGTTTGAATGAAAGGAGCTCGATTGCGTCTCGACAGTTAAAGCAGAACCTGATCGAGTATCTAGCTGTGACGTGGTCAGATGTACACAACCGTTATCAATCAAAAATCAGGGTCGAGGACGACCAGTTGGGAGCCCCCTCGGGTTCAGTTCATCCTAACAGGTTCGCAGCCAAGCCCCCGAGGGAAATGGACAGGGAATCAAGATCGAACAAGGAACGGTATCAGTCATACGTCGATCGAAGAAACAACGGCTCGGGTCGAACACCCCCAGAAATGATCAGAGAAACGATCGAGGTCAAAGTTCTCGAGGGCCCATGAGTAAGAGCGGGTTCGATAAGCATACTGACCCCGTAGAGGCACCTCATTGTCAGAGTAAAACTTCAGCGTAGATGCATCGGGGATTGTGTCACCTATTGGAAGAATCAAAGACACCGAGTGGCTCAGGCTTATACAAACCGATCCTTCTCAAAAGAACCCGAACTTGATGTGCAAGTATCATGGAACACATAGTCATAGAACAGAAGATTGCAGGCAGCTAAGGGAAGAAGTGGCTCGATTGTTCAACGAGGGCCATCTTTGACAATTTCTAAGTGACCGAGCCAAGAATCACTTCAGGGAGAGAGATGCAAGAAAAAATGAGCAAGAAGAACCACAACATGTAATCCACATGATCGTTGGCGGTGTCGATATGCCACAAGGACTTGTGTCAAGCGCACCAAGGTATCGACCACCCGGGAAAAACAGACTCGGAGCTATGTTCCCGAGGATGCCCTATCATTCTATGACGAGGAAGCAAAAGGCATATCTCAGCCACACAACGATGCCCTGGTAATCTCTATCCTAATAAATAAAATTCAAGTTAAACGTGTTCTAGTAGGTCCAGGTAGCTCAGCAAACATAATCAGATCGAGGGTCGTGGAACAACTCGGCCTACAAAATTAGATTGTACCTGTGTCCCGGGTCCTAAATGGCTTCAATATGGCAAGCGAAACAACCAAGGGGGAGATAATCTACCCGTAAATGTAGCTAGAACCATACAGGACACAAAATTCCTTGTCATCGAAGGCGACATGTGGTATAATGTCGTGACGACCCAAAGGGGTCATCACCTGTTTTTACTTTCATTCTGTGCTTCCGAGGCCTTGAAAATCTTATTTTTTTACTTGCCTCGATTTGCGTGTGCAGTCCGGGCGCGTAGCCGAAAAGCTTAAATATGAATTCTGTGTAAAAATTGATGAATTTTGATATTAATATGGTTAAAGTTGACTTTGGTCAACAATTTGGGTAAAAGGACCCGGACCCGTGATTTGACGGTCCCGGAGGGTCCGTAGAAAAATATGGGACTTGGTCGTATGCCCGGAATCGAATTCCGAGATCCCAAGCCCGAGAAATAAATTTTTGTGTGAAATTGTTTTCTGAAATTAATTAAGGAAAATGGAAAGGAAATTTGATCAGAAGACTATGGTATCGTGCTCGTATTTTGGTTCCGACGCCTGGTACAAGTCTTATATGTGATGTAAGCGCTTTCTGTAAAGTTTGGTTGGAAACGGACGTCATTTGACGTGTTTCGGAATTAAAAATGGAAAATTTGTGTTTTATGAAAAGTTGGAAGAAATCATGTGATTTGAGGCTTGATTCTATGTATATGATGTTATTTTGGCGATTTGATCTCACGAGTAAGTCCGAAGGATGTTTTTGAGGTTGTGTGCATATTTGGTTTGGAGACCCGAGGGATCGGGTGAGTTGTAGATAGGTGTCGAGTTGCATTTTGAGACTTTGAAAAATCTGGTATCCTTCAGTTCTGCAGGCTTCGCAATTGCGAAGCCAGCTTTCGCCAAAGCGAACTCGCAATTGCGAGCTTCCCATCGCAAATGTGATCCTTCATCTGGGCAGCAATCTTCGTAAATGCCAAGTAATTCATCGCAAATGCGATGCATGCCCATGAGCCCAGCCTTCGCAAATATGAAGTATTCAATCGCAAATGCGAACCTTCCACTTTTCCTCAAGTTCGCAAATGCGAACTAAAATCTCGCAATTCCCAGACCTGCTGGGTTCGCAATTGTGAACCCAGGTTCGCATTTCCCATATCTGAGGCCTGCAATTTTTCATACTTAGACGAATTTTCAACCCATTTCTTCATTCTTTCAAACTCAAACACTCCACAGGCGATTTTCCAAGAAAACTTTCTTCCCCAAATCATTTGTAAGTCAATTTTTACTTAATCTCTTCAATCCTTTGCATCATTAAACATGTTTTCATCTTAAAATCAAGGATTTTCATGGGTGAAAAGGGGATTTTGGGTAGAACCTAGGTCTTCTTCAAATTGGGGAGTTGGACCTCAATTTGAGGTCCGATTTTAAAACTAATCATAGATATGAACTCGTGGGGGAATGGTTAACCGGGTTTTGGTTCGAACCTCGGGTTTTGACCACGTGGGCCCGGGGGCATTTTGGGAATTTTTGAGTAAAACTTTGGGAAATTCATTTTCATGCATTCAAATTGATTCGATTAGCATTTGTGGATACATTCAAGTAATTTGTGACTAGATTCGAGCGGTTTGGTGGTGAATTCGAAGGGTAAAGCTATACTAGAGGCTTGAGTTGAGTTTGGAGCATTTGAGGTAAGTGTTTGGTTTAACCCTAGCTTGAGGGAATAGGAGTAGAGTCTTATTTGTTAATTGCTATTTGTCGAGTACGGTGTATAGGCATGGTGACGAGTATCTACACACTGGTGTCGAGCATGACCGTGAGTCCTAATTTGCTACATTATCGAATTTGTAAATGTTATTTATGAGGAATTGGTTGGAAATCTTTAACACTGAGCCAGTAATTGTTGAGACTAAGTGTGGATGTAATTGTGTTGAGTAGAGATTGAATGAGTTTGGTTATAGCTGGATCTCCCTTGCCGGGATAGTTTATTATATTACGTTGCTCCCTTGCCGAGATAGTTTATTATATTACATTGCTCCCTTGCCGGGATAGTTATTATAACATCTTTCTCCCTTGCCGGGATTATGTTGTGTATTGTGTTGAAAGAAATGGGATCGTGTGGCACGCCGACCACGAGTTATTATGAAATGGGATCGTGTGGCACGCCGACCACGAGGTATTATGAAATGGGATCGTGTGGCACGCCGACCACGAGTTATTATAAAATGGGATCGTGTGGCATGCCGACCACGAGTTATTATGAAATGGGAACGTGTGGCACGCCGACCACGTGATATTATTGTAATGGGAGCGTGTGGTACGCCTACCATGTAATGTAAGGAAATGGGATCCTGTTGCACGCCTGCAATGAGAGGAAAATTGAAATAAGGGAAAGTGGTTTGTTTTCCTTTATTCTGTGTTAGAAGAATTCAGATGTAGTTTCTTCTATTAATCCTGATATTCTGTTTTATCTGCTTCCCATAAGCATGTTTCCCCCCTCCCAGCTTTAATTGCTTACTTTCCGCTATTATTTTGTGGTACTTGTATATATATATATATATATATCTGCACAGGTTTATCTGGTAGTCTAGTCTAGCCTCGTCACTACTTCGCCGGGGTTAGGATAGGCACTTACCAGCACATGGGGTCGGTTGTGCTGATGCTACACTCTATGCATCTTTTTGCACAGATCACAGTACCGCAACAGCTTTTGGACAGCAGTAGGAGCATTTGGGAGCTGACTTCAGTCCAGAGATCCCGAGGTAGCCTTGCTAACGTCCGCATGGCCCGGAGTCTCTTCTATCCTTATTTCGTTTGTTGTCCTTGTACCGGAACAAACAATATTGTATTTTATTCAGACTCTGTTTTTAGTATTGATGTTCCAAACGTCAATACCACACAAGAGGGGGGGTGATTTGTGTGGTACCCAATTTTTGATCCAGAAGAACCTGGTTCTTCTAGGTGTTCTAACTACTACTGTTTGCGGAATTAAAATACGGAAAATAAAAGAACACAAGGATTTTTACGTGGAAAACACCTGGCTCAAAAGGTGAAAAAAACCACGACCTACTATTCAGTAGGATTTTCCCAAACATCCACTAAACTCAATGAGCCAAAAACAGCATTTACAAAGCTCTTGTAAACCTAAGGATTAACTCTAATCCCAGTGTGGCACACAGCCTCAACTGTTGCGACACTTTCAAGTTAACTCTAACTTGAATACTCAAAGTACCTAATACAATTGCTTCTATGAAAGCTGGAAAGGTACAAGTTTTAAATCACCTACTACAATTGAACTAGAATAAGAATAAACACAATGGAACTGGTTCTTCTATCTTGTTCAAGTAGTTGCAGGCGTGCACACTCAATCTCACATAAATTGCTTGCAAAATAGCCTTGCTCTTTTGCTCTAAATTTTGCTTAACTTCAGCGTATGTGCATACCTGTAAAAGAGAAAAACTCAGTTATTTATTATATTAGTAATTAGAGTTGGATTGAAACTCAATTTCTGATCCTCCATTGAATTTGAGTCCTAGACCAATCCAAACTCCAACCCTTATCCGGATGTGTTCTCTTCTTATAACGAGACATCTTCTCCTTATCCCATATGCAATC